CTCTTAAAATGAGAAACAAGCCCTGGAGGGCTGGCCCTGAAGGGCCGCGGGCCGGCCCTTTTAAGCCCTTTTGTAATTTTTTTATTTTTTAAATTTTTTTATATAATATTAATGTTATTAATTTTTTACATTGTTAATAATATTTCAAATATTTAGTTATTATTATCATTTTAAAATTAAATTTAGTTTTAGACAATAATTTATCTAATTAAATTTTTAAAAAATCGGTTAATTTGGACTTTAATAATGATTTGATTTATATTATATGCGTTGATATTTTTAAACTATATATATTTGATAATAGAATATTTTTATACTTATATAACTTGTGATTCTATAATTTGAATTAGAAATTCATGAGTTTCAACAACAATGTTTCTCACATTAAAGTAAAATAATAGTTAGATTGCAAAATTCAAAAATAAAATTCTTATAAAGAAGAAAAACTTGATATTTTTGTTACGAAAGAAAAGCATACTTATGAAGAAAAGTAATTAATTATAGTGATGATGAAGTTTCAAAAGATTAATGACAGTGTTTATTTATTGCACAATTGCATTATAGATAAAACTTTTAGATGTTGTTATCTTGTTAATGAATGTTTTAGATGTTCTTAGATGTTGATGAATATTTATATATGATGATATTTTATATTTGTGACTTAATTTTATTCATATTTATGTCTTTTATTAATAATTTCATTGGTTTATTTTATATTTTTATAAAAAATTTGATAAATATAAAAAAATAGTATTTTTCCTTAAACGGGCCAAAAGCCCGCGGGCCGGCCCTGGCCCTGTAGCTTAAGGGCCGGACTTAACAAATTGGGGTATTTTTAAAATTTCAGCCCTGGAGGCCCGGCCCTTTTAAGCCCGCCAGCCCTGAAGGGCCAGCCCTGGAGGGCCGGGCCGGCCCTGATTCCCGGCTCTAAAAGGGAATTAAATACAAAAAAGTCCCTTGAAATCATGAAATTATTCTGAAGTCCCAAAGGACCTTTTTGTAATAAATTTTATTTGTTTAATTACCAAATCACCCTTCTTCTTTTTTTAAATTTATATTGACAACTGAAAGAGCAGTGGTTGACAACTCAGGGTGCAAGGATTGACAACTATCGCAGCTGGTTTGACAACACATTTTCTCAGCATATCACACCATAAGTTGTCAAACCAGTCGCGATAGTTGTCAATCCTTGCATCCTGAGTTGTCAGCCACTGCTTTTTCAGTTGTCAATGCAAACTTTAAAAAAAAAACAAGAAGGGTATTTTGGTAAGTAAATAAAAAAAATTTGGGACTTTAAAATAATTTCAAGATTTCAAGGGACCTATTTGTATTTAATTTTCTTGAGTGAGACCTAATTGCCATTTTCCCCCGTTTTTACTTCAAAAGTTTTGTAAAGTTATTAGGGTAAAGGGACATCCAGCACCCCAATCGTTTTTTTTAGGAGCACCCACCACCCCAATCTTTTTTTCAGTGCAATTTTACCCATCATCTATTTTTTTTTAGTGCAATTTAACCCAATTCCAACAGACCCCCTAATGTCTGTTAAGAAATTTTTTTTAATAAGTCCACATCAGTACGGCTAAGAGGATGAAAATTGACAGATAATACAAAGAAGAGAAAAAACAAACCGAACTCGTGCACCCACTCTGCAAGCACCAGAACCCCACCTGTTTGTGCGATTGGGAACACTAGCATTTGGTGAAGGATAAGGCAACAAATTCGTGCGAGGAAAGTTGTCTTGATTTGGGAAGGTAACAACCTTACTTTGAAATTTTACTTTTGTTTTCCATCATACTCCATCTCTTTTGTTTTAGAGGAGCAATTTGACTTTGCAAGCATTGAAACCCTAAACTAATTGCAAATTCCAGCAGTGAAGGTTGCGAGGAAGACAGTGAATAAAAAATCTCCATTGCTAAGGTAAAATCGACCTTAGCAAGCATTGGAGCTAGTTAGCTAAGCATCGAGAATGGGCTCCAATTCTTGAATATATATTAGAGAAGTGGTCTTCTCGAATACATATTTGAAAACTAGTCTTCTCGAATACATATTCAAGAACTGATCTTTAGTCTTCTCGAGTACATATTCATGACATTTGATCTTAGACAGCCCCAACTTCGTAGCCAAACGATAATCACATACCTGATTGTAATTGAATAAATTCTTATCATTCGAATTCATCATGATATTAATGCAGTTGATTATCCTTCTCAAACTACTTCAGAAATTCTTTCAACTATATGAGCCTTACCAATATGTTGAACTTCATATCTTGTTCCTCAACGCAGCTTCCTTGTCCCTACATTGATGTTAGAGCAATTGACGATCTCCAGATCATCTTCAATCACCGACAAATGGACCGCCACATCATCTTTGGCAACTGACACATCCCACGCCACATCATCTTCATCCCACGCCATATCATCTTCGTCCACATCATTTCCCAGGTTCGCATCTCTCGTCATTTTTTTATTATAAAACTCCTTTCAACAAACCCGATTTCAAACGTGGGACCATACAAGGAAAACAAAAGTAAGGTTGTTACCTTTCCAAATCAAGACAACTTTCCTCACATGAATTTGTTGCCTTCTCCTTCACTAGATGCTAGTGTTCCCAATCACACAAATAGGTGGGGTTCCGGTGCTTGCAAAGTGGTCGCACAAGCTCGGTTTGTGTTTTCCCTTCTTTTGTATTATCTGTCAGTTTTCATCCTCTTAGCCGTGCTGATGTGGACTTATAAAAAAAAATTTCTTAACAGACGTTAAGGGATCCGTTGGAATTGAGTTCAATTGCACTAAAAAAAAAAAGATGACAGGTAAAATTGCACTAAAAAAAAGATTGAGGTGGTAGGCGCTCCTAAAAAAAAAAGAAGATTGGGGTGCTGGGTGTTTTTTTATCCAAGTTATTATTGTAACTACTCAAGATGCTACCCCTTAAATGCTCATCCCTCTTTTTCATGTCCTCGGGTCTTACTTTCTGCTCGCAATGCATTTTGATCCTTTACACAAAAATATATATATTTGGAATTAGTTTTATTATAGAATAAAATTAATTTCATTCTTTTTTTGTACGCGTTTTTCAGAAAGAACAAGAATGGTTAAGGTTGGAAACCAAAAGCAGTGATTTTATTGTGATGAAATGAACAAAAAATCTATTTTAAAAAAGGACAATAAAATATTCTGAAAATTACTAAATGATAAATTAGGAATTATTACGAAAATATATTATTATATATTTTTCAAGTATAATCAGTAAATATGATGGATTTGAAATTTCAAAATTCAAGACTTTTTTTTTTGAAATTTTTTTCAGAAAAAATATAAATAAGTCATGGTCATTTAATTTATTTATAAAAGTTTTAGACTTTTAGGAATTGTATTCTCAAGCCCCTTGGAGCTTGATTGTATTTAATTTCCTTGCAAAATTAATTTTCTGTAAAATAGTGAATTATAAATATAAAAAATATTCTGTAATTATTTAAAATATTAATTTTTAAATTATTAATCAAGTTATTTTAATTTATTGAGTAACTCATTAAAAATTTGATGCATTAATTAATTAAATAAATATTATAATGCACATATATTAATTTATAAAAATATTTATGTAAAATTTGTATATTTACTATATCAAGTCCTCTAATTACATGTGGTCATTATAAAATTATTTCTATTGATGATTTATTGCACGTAATTTTCAATGTAGATGGTTGAAGAGATAACTTAAGGAAACTCAATTAATTTCTTTAAAGACATAAATACGTACAATTATCAATCCTAAATAAATTAAAAACAATGCTCATGATGTACAAGCTGTTGTTAATATGGTAAATAGTCTCATCCTTGTAAGATAAAAAACATAAATTTGAATTTAACATAAATTAGTATCAAATCTAAAATAACATGAGGATATTTTAAGTTACAGCAAAAAAAAATAATTTTATTTATATATACAAGCATATGAAGTAATTAGTTTTAAATTATATATATATGTATATGTATGCGCGTGTGTGTAACCCACGGGGACTTACTAGGGAAGCAGAAGGGAAAAGGGGAGGAAAAAGGAAGGAGCGGTGGGGAGTTGATTTGAGGGGAGGCTATAATAGAAGTGACAGAGGACAGCCTGCTTTTTTTGAAAAACAAAATATTCTTCTAGTTTTTATTATGAGATTTAATTATTAAGTTAATTTTAGTCTTAAATATAAGATTTATTTTTTATATTTATTAATTTTTTTAAAATTATCTCTATGAATATTCTCTCAATTATAATCAAGTAAGTAAGAGAATAAGAATATTAAGAAAAATGATTATAGTATTTTAAGAAAAACATATTATATTTCTTATAATTAACTAACTTATCTAACTTTATTAATCTAATCAAATTAATTAAATAAGTCTTATATTAAGAAGCGGAAAAATATTAAAAAAATGAAATCAATTTAGAAATCGTTTTAATCAAGATAAAGTTGTGTTGTAAATTAAACTCGTTCTTTAAGAACTATTTTGCGCATAGCATTTGAGTAAATAATTTTGATAATGCAGTATTCGAACATTATGTTTTGCTGTTTATAGTATTTCAGTCAAAAAGCCAAAAGTAAACTGTAGGACCGCTGCGATAACTCATGACAGTATGGCACCTGTACGTCGTCAAGACTCAAATGAAAAAGGCAAAACATAAGCTACGAACAAAGCTCTAATCTCAGGTCAAAAAAAGGACAAAGCTCTAGTTTCAATACACGTCTCTGCAAAGCATTCACGCTCTTCACCTTCAGTTTTTCAATACACTCAATTTTCTATTTGAATATTTTTAATAATATAAAATGCGTTGTATAAAGTCAAGATATTAGGCTGTGAAAATTCATTGGAAATTAAACACGGCGCATAATTTGGATGCATTGTAGTATTAAGTTTAATTAATAACAGACTAAAGCTCCTATAAATTAAAAGCAGCATACCATTTCAATATATGAATCCACAAAACCATTTACACACTTCAGCATGACCATGGCTTTTGCCCCCGGTTCATTTTCATTTCTTTCCAAATACTACCTTCAACCATTAATCCTTGTCATCTTCTACATAAACTTGCTTTGCTTCCAGCATGTTAGAGCTGCATCAAATGAGACTGATTATTTGGCATTGCTCAAGTTTAAAGAATCAATAACTGATGATCCTCATGAAATCTTGAGCTCTTGGAATAGTTCGAAACACTTCTGCAGTTGGACTGGAATCACATGCGGCCACAAGCATCAGCGAGTCACCAAGTTGAATTTGGGAGGCTATCAGCTTGGTGGGATCATATCGCCCCACATTGGCAATCTCTCTTTCGTGAGATATCTCTCCCTTTCAAACAATAGTTTCCATGGAGAAATTCCACCAGAGTTGGGACATTTGTTCAGGCTAAAGAAAATCTTGCTCCCAAGCAACACATTGACAGGAGAGATTCCCTGGAACTTGACAAGTTGTACTGAATTGAGGATCTTTAGTTTGAGAAGGAATAGTCTTAGTGGTACAATACCATATCAGTTAGGGGCTCTTCAGAAGCTTGAACAGTTGCAACTTTTTGGCAACAATTTAACTGGAAAGATCCCATTATCTATATGGAATCTTACTTCGCTCACTTATCTTGGAATGGGGGATAATAAGTTGGAAGGAAGCATACCGGAGGAGATAGGCCAATTGAAGAACTTGATATATTTTGAAGCATCAGAGAATATTTTGTCTGGGGCTTTTCCTTTTTCACTTTACAATCTATCATCTCTTTCTATGATATCAGTACCTGGAAACTATCTCAATGGCACTCGACTTCCAAACAGCATGTTCTCCATCCTCACTAATTTGAAACTCTTTTTCATAGGTGGGAATCAAATTTCAGGTTCAATCCCAAATTCCATCACAAATGCCTCTTCTCTTCAACAGGTTGATATTTCTGGTAACTATTTTGTTGGAAAAGTTCCAAGTCTAGGAAACCTAAAAGATTTGATGATACTTAATTTAGATTCTAATAATCTTGGTAATGGTTCCAACAAGAACATGGATTTCATAACATCTCTAACAAACTGTAGTAAATTAGAAATATTAGCTTTGTCTAGAAACCAATTCATAGGCACTTTACCCAGCAACATAGGAAATTTGTCAACCCAACTTAGTGAACTATACTTGATTGATAATCTGATATATGGTCCTATTCCTGATAGTTTAGGAAAATTGACAAATTTAATTCTCTTGAGTCTAGGAAAAAACAACTTTTCTGGCATCATTCCAGTTTCTTTCGGCAATCTTCACAGGATACAAGGGTTAGCATTTGAGAAAAACCAACTCTCAGGAGAGATACCAGCTTCCTTAGGGAACCTTAGCCAATTGTCTGCGCTAAGAATTTCAATGAATATTCTTGACGGAAAAATTCCTACCACAACTGGGAACATGAAAAATTTGCAAGAGCTAGACGTTTCAGAAAACAATTTCAATGGAGCTATACCCTTGCAGATTTTTGGTCTCCCCTCCTTGTCCATTTCACTAAACTTATCTCACAACTCATTTAATGGATCTTTGCCAATTGAGGTAGGAAATCTTAAAAACCTTGGCAAGTTGGATATCTCTAGAAATAATCTTTCCAGAGAGATTCCTTTAACCATAGGAGAGTGCACAAGTATGGAATACCTTAACTTGCAAGGAAATTCCTTCAATGGGCCCATGCCTCCTTCTCTAGCTTTGATGAAAGGTCTTGAGCATTTGGATTTATCACAAAATAACCTATCTGGGCCTATGCTAGCTGGCCTACAAAACATTTCTTCTCTTCAATACTTAAATGTTTCCTTCAATAAGTTTGATGGTGAGGTGCCAACAGAAGGGGTTTTCAGCAATGCAAGTGCAATATCAATTTCTGGAAATATCAATCTTTGTGGGGGAATTTCTAAGTTGCACTTACCCCCATGCCCTAAGAGAGTTGACACACAAACAAAACATAATCTGAAGCTCATGATTATTTTGATTTGTGTGGCCTCTTCTCTTTTTCTTATAATTTTGTTTGGTCTCTATTGGAGGCGAGAAAGAAACAGGAAATCATCTTCAAGCTCACCTGTAATTGAACAATTTCCCAAGGTGTCATATCAAAATCTACACATGGCAACTAAAGGTTTCTCCACCAACAATTTGATTGAATTTGGAAGTTTTGGCTCAGTATATAAAGGAAGGCTAGAATTGAAAGATAAAGTTGTTGCAATAAAGGTACTGAACCTTCAAAAGAACGGAGCTCAAAAGAGTTTCATTTCAGAATGTAATGCATTGAGAAACATAAGGCATCGAAATTTGCTAAAAATTTTAACATGTTGCTCAAGCATTGATTATAAGGGACAAGAATTTAAGGCACTAGTGTTTGAGTACATGTCAAACAGAAGCCTTGAGAAATGGTTACATCACAATCAAGGAAGCGTACCTCAGTCAACATTAGATATTTGTCAAAGATTTAATGTTATATATGATGTTGCATCGGCACTACATTATCTTCATTATGAAAATGAGCAACCAATTGTCCATTGTGACTTAAAGCCTAGCAATGTCCTTCTTGATGATGATATGGTAGCTCATGTAAGTGATTTTGGGTTAGCAAAACTACTTGCAACCCTTAATGGTAGTTCTCAAAAACAAGCAAGCACATCTATAATAAAAGGAACGATTGGCTATGCTCCTCCAGGTAACATCTTTATTGGCTTGAAGTTCTTGTAAATTCCATTCCTTTTATGAAATCTTCTTTTTATTTTGTTAATTTCAACACAGTGAATTTCTAAACATTAACCATATCCTAACACATTTCAGAGTATGGAATAACTTCTGAGGTATCAATACAAGGTGACATCTATTCTTTTGGTATTCTTATTTTGGAAATGTTAACCGGAAAAAGACCAACAGATCTAATATTTGAAGATGGCCACAATCTTCATAGTTACGTCAAAGCTGCATTTCCAAACAATCTTTTGAAGATCGTGGACACAACTCTTGTATGCCAGCAAGTACAACAAACAACAATAGTAGCTAAAGGAGAAATTAGGATGGAGGAGGTGGCTCTTGTGCATCCCCACCATGAGAAGATTCTAATTTTACTGTTTGAAATTGGACTTGCTTGTTCAGTAGAATCTTCTAAAAAAAGGATGAACATGATGGGTGTACTAAGGGAGCTAAATCAAATTAAAAATGCTCTTGCTCTTGGGGAAAGAAGTCAAAATTGACTGCAACGTCAAAGAATAAACTTCAGATGCCACTTTTAATATGTTGTCATGATAAATTTCTGCCCTGAGAAAGTTCCTTACTTTTCATGAACTATATTTCAATCTCAGATCTTCTTTAAGACTCTTCTTTTATGAACAAATTAATGTCAATGATTGTGCTAGAATAAAGTGTTACTTTGGTACGTGAATCATGCAGCTGCTCCTTCAGTGTCTAAATATCCATCGATATTACTACATGCTATGATGTAAATGTTAATCTTACAATTGTATTTATTGAGGCTCTACGCGTTGCTGCCAAATTGCAACTCGTATTAGTAAAACAAATAGATTGTAATTTTTGCCCATGGGTACAAATACACCTAAGTTGGTATTAAAAGAAATAGCAGAGAACGAAAAAAATTACATAATTTAATGGCTCTGAGAAATGAGAAGAAATGTAACGATATTGATGATAATACAGTTCTGAATAAACATGAAAGAAAATATGAAAATACAGCCTCAGGCACAACAAAAGTAATAATTAATGTGAAAGTGCATGATAAATTTCAGGCCTTCAAGACAGGCATACATAAAATGACATAGGGAGTGTCTGTATGTAATTTAAAATAAAGAAAAACGCTTACATCAAATTTGTTATATTCATTATGTCAAGTTTTTTCAATAACACATGACCATATGTCTTATTTTTGAAATATTAGCATTTAATAGCATTTAATTATAAATTCACATAAAACAGAAAAAGATATATGGTCATGTAGGATTGGAAAACTTGACATAATATACATCAGAAACTTGACCTAAATTTTTTTTCTTAAAATAAAATGTGTGATTTTTGCGTTCAACAAATGTGAAATGAAGGAAAAAAATCTGAATTTTTAATTCACAAATATAGAGCGCACTGATAGAAGGAGAAAACTATAATAAGTGTAAATATGGGGTTTTTGACCATTCCACACCGTGATTGTCACAATCTTCAGTATTGTTTTCTCTTCAAATGAATTAATACTTAAAAAAAAAAAGAAGAAGACTCATTTGAAGTAGTAGTTTATTTCCATCCACACATATGTAAGCAGCGCTCTTAGAGGAAAACAGCTCGGGAATGATTCATCTAATTCTTGGGAAATTCTTGAAGCTCTTGAAGCCTGACACTTGATTTGAACTTGTTTCCAACCAAAATCTTGAAGCTTGACTTAAGAAATCCAATTGCTTGTAGAAGCAGGTTGGAATTGGTGCTCAATTAAAAAAAAAAAAAACCCTCTATCACGGGGAACTAGCGAGTTATTAAGAAATAGGTAATCTTAGGATTAATGACTATTTGAGTTTTAAAAAATAACAACTTTAATTATATAAAATGACGCTGGTAAAAAAAAATTATATAAAATGACAATAAACCGTGACAACTAGCATTTTAGTTAAGGTGCAGATTTACCGATTCCGGAACAGAATCTCTCCTCTGCCTTCCCCTGTTCTTACCATCCTCTTTCCCAAGCCTCGCTTTCCATCCCATCTACAATGGCCAGATTCGAGATGCTCCGCTCTTAAATGCCTTTAGCTTCTCCACCACTCACCTGGACACCAAAACATCAATTAACAAAAAACAAAAATGCGATAAATATAGACGTGGATGGGTATCTCTGGTCTCACTCTGTTTTTGGGCACCCCTGCTTTGAGCCATGCTTTTATCAAAACAAGGTCTTTAAACCTTAAAAAAAATTAGAACTCAAATATACACCCATGACCCATCCCGAGTTTCTCTCACATATTAAAAGGGGCAATTTGAAGGAGAGTCTATGATTTTGATGATCAGTGGTTTGGGCTTCGGGATGTTAAGTCCTCAATAGTAATTGAACTCTATGGACTACCAGCAAGCTCTGTTTTCCACACTTTTCCTCTGTTATACTTTCTGTCTGTTAATTTAGAATATTGCCATGGAATTAGATTCAGCCTTTGTTTTTTTAAGCCATTTTTATGCAACATAGAGGTCATTTACTTTACTCGTTTACTTTTCTATTTAATCAAATTAAATATTAGTTTTAATAAAATAATAAACTAATTTACTGCTTTTAATATTTTTTACAGGATAGAAAATTTGTCTTGATTCTTTTAATAAGAATTTATTTACAAAATATCTACTACACTAAATTTTTTCTTTTAAAAAAAATGCTCTTAATTAGGGGTGTTCACGAGATGGGACCGAGACAGGCTTGGTCCCATCCCAGTGAACAGGGACGGGACAGGGTTTTAGTCCCGTGTCCCGTCTCGTCCTGGTTGTTGGGACCAAGATAGGACGGGAAGTCCCTTTCCCCCTCTTTTTTTTTTAAATACTATAATTTTTTATGTGAATTTTTTATGTTATAATGTTTATTTTTTATTGGACTTCTAAAGATAAAAATATTATAAAAAATATTATGTAGAAAGCTCAATTATATAGTATAAAAAGGATGTAAAAACAATACTGTAAAAAAACAGTAAAAGAAACACTATATAATAGCTTTATGAATTATTTTATTGAGGAATGAGATATTGTTGAGATAATACTACAACTTAAGAGCTAAAAATACTATAATAATAATTATTATTATTATTAAGTAAATTAAATAATCTAATAATTATTATTAATAAAGAATTTTTTTTTTAAAAAAAAACCCTAGGACGGGACGGGACGGGACAACCCCGTCCCGTGTCCCCTCCCGTCATTGTCACTGTTCCTGTCCCGTCCCGTCCCGTACTTGTCCTGTCCTAAAATTTTTTTTGCTCCGTCCCGAACTCATCAGGACCGAGACGGGACAAACCGAACACCCTTACTTTTAATTACTCCACATTTAATTAATTAGGGGAAAAGAAATTAAAAGAGTAGGGTTTGGTAATTTTGTCAAAAAAAAATCATATAAATTGTTGATATTTTTAATGTAATCAACTAAATTAACTATTTTTCTAATTCTTTGCCAATGATTGTTTATTAGGCCAGCCGCCTTTCACATAATAATAGAGCCACAGGCATTTGAACTCAGTATATTATATTTTCCTTGAAAGTGATATCCGAAATGTTAATTAGAATATTGGCCTATCACGTACTTTTATTTATTTATTTATTTTTATGATTCTGGTCTATTGACATTTTACATATAAGTCATAGATGGATGACCTTATCCCCATTGCTTAATGTTTTGTTGACCTGCGTAAGTGGATGACTGAATGAGTCAATTATAATTTGTTTGATATTCAACCTAATACGGTGAATTAGTACTATCTTTAATATTTAATTACGTGTTATAATTAAGAATGTACCATTTTCTAATTAATGTTATATAAGAATACAGATGTTCAAAGGATGTCCCAATCTCCATGACCTTCTGTGAAGGTTACATATTCAGATAATTAAAAGCGATTCATGTTTTAATTAGGAGAAGACGAGTTAATTAAACCCTAAAATATGTTTTGTGTCTTTTTCAGGATCACACGTAGACAATGAGATAATATCAGAATTAATTAATTACATGAGATGTTGAATAATTTGATTAATTTATTACTTCTGTTCATGGAATTTGTGCTATTGAAGTGAAGAAGGAAGAGCACCTGACAAACTATTCACTGATGCTGCAGAGAAATTGAAGTCCTTCAAGTGGCCTATCTCTTATGGCATGCTTCCTTCCAAATTAGTATAGGCTATTGCAAGGTAGGTGAGGGAAGTAAGATTTCATAGAGACATTGGGATTTCTGCTGTTAAATTATTGACAGAAAGCTATAGCCACTTCTCAAGAGCCCCCATTGATATGGTATTTTGCCAGTAACCCAAGAAAGATCCTCAATTCATCCCAATTTTGGTGTGATTGCTCCATAGAAACTATTCTTATTTCGGAAATGTTAACAAGCGAAAGACCAACAAATCTAATGTTTGAAGACGGCCACAATCTCAACAATTGCATCAAAGCTGCATTTCCAAACAATTTTTTTTTTTTTTGGGGATTGTGGACAGAGCTCTTCTACCCCAACAATTACAACACACAACATGAGTAGTTGGAGGAGAAATTAGGATGGAGGACGTGACTCTTGTGCATCCCAATCATAAGAAGACTCTAATTTCATTATTTGATATTGGACTTGCTTGTTTAGTATAATCTCCCAAAGCAAGGATGTATGGTGGGTGCATTAAGGGAGCTAAATCAAATAAAAATGCTGTTGGTTTTGGGGAAACAAGTCGAACTTGAACGCAACAAAATGGGTGTTTGGGTAACCTCATAATCACTTTTCAGAAGCACTTTTCCGCAAATCGATGTAAACTCCTTCACATATTTACTTCGCATACTGTAAAAATACTTCTAAAACCATAGTTTTGTTTTTACCCAAACACTCCTAAAGAATGGGCTAAAAAAAATGGCACTTTAGATATTTTATTATTATAAATTTCTGCGCTAATAAAATTCTACTTCTCATGAATTGTATTTCAGTGTTAGATGTAGTCTAAGACTGTTCTTTTGTGAACAAAGAAAAGTCAACCAATGCGCTACAATAATTTGTTACTTTGGTTTGTGAAAAATCAGTTATTCCTTCAATGTCTAAATTGCTATCAGCAACAATTATTACATGCTGTCAACAAATTGCAATTTGTATTAGGAAAACAAACAGACTGGGATTTTTGCCCATGGGTAACAAAACACCTAACTTGGTATTTAGGAAAAAAAACAGAGAGAGAATTAACACATCACATGATTAAAATGGTCAGAAAAATGAAAAGCAATGTATGTCTATATTAAAAAGCAAAAGTCAGATCCATCAATAAATATTGATGACAGTACAGTTCTTTCTGAAAATAAAAGATAATTTTCATATGTAACCTCGGGCACAACAAAAGAAAAACTCAATTTGTTTCCTAAATTCCATAGAAAGATATACAATTCATCACCACTGGCATGTCAAACTACAAAATCTCATATCTTTCTACTAAAAAACAGTTTTAAGAAAAAGAAATATATATTAGAGACTTCATGGGAGATCAAGTA